CCATTCCAAAATATCAATTAACAGTCCATTTAACTAAAGACGAGATATAGATTTATTACTTACCTGTCATGACGGTCCTCTGAATCTAGTTAAATCTTACAATCTACTAAACAGAGTTTGACACACACCTATAACTTATTATAGCAAAAATAACAACATAAAAATCACCATGAACCCAGCCTCTTACAAACCAAAACCTAACAAGGTAATTCATCAATATTTGAGCAATAAACCTACACTAGGCGCATTTATCAATTAATCCTACAGATTAGTCCCACTGTTTTCAGCTCCTTAACTAAAATAAATAACAGATTATCATCGGTGGCCTGACAGTTCAACCTAATCAACTTTTCTTTCGTCCGAATACAGGATAGCGCGTAATACCCGATTTTACCGTGACCTTTAACTACCTTGATGTTCCCGAGGAAAGTTACCTGTGCTTGAGTTTCATCACCTGATTCGCTCTAGCGTGTTATTCCACTAACCCACTCTAGGCCAGTATGGCGTTTTTATCTTGTGGAGATCGCTTCAGAAGTAGTACGGAGAGAAAGTTACGAGTTAATTTCTGCTGCGCCTCAAAAAACAGCATTTTCGGCAGAAATTCATATACAGTGGTTCTAACAACTAAATATTAAGGATATATATTTTTTTCTTAATGAAAATCTTAACCATTAAACATAGCGATGTTTGAAGGTAAGGGTCATGTTCCAGTTTTTTCGAAAACTCCTTAGTCCTTTTTGCGGTGAATGTTGCAAAATGATAAGTACGGACATTTGGATGCAGTTGTCCTGGTGATGCACGCGTAGGTGCCAGCACTTCGTAGTCACGCTCTATTCAGTATTAACAAAATATCCTGCGTTGACAGTTTGTTTCAAATTCAATCCTTGTTAAAACGAAAGCGACTCCATGTCCTGTTTCTCTCTCTCTCTCTCCCTCCCCTTCTGTTTGTTTTGCTCTCTGCGTCTCTGTGCCTGTCTCTGTATGCCTCTGTGTCTCTGCCCACGTCTGTCTCCTCTGTCTCTAAGTGTATGTCTCTCTCTATCTGTTCCTTTGTCCCTCTGTCTTTCCCTGTGCCTCAGTCTGTCTCTCACTTACGCGTGTCGCTGTCCTTCGTGTCTCTCTTTTTTCTTTCTGTCCTTGTCTGACTATATATGTCTTTATCTCGGTGTATCTGTCTCTCTCTATCCCTCTGACTCCGACTCTGTCCTTGTCCCTCACTGTTTCCAGCTCTAGGTCCCTGTACCTCTCCGTTTATCTCTCTCTCTCTCTCTCTCTCTCTGTCTGTCTCTGTTTCTCTGTGTCTCTCTGCGGCTCCGTCTGCCTCTATATTCGCCTCGCTCTGCCTCTGAGTGTCTCTGTTTGCCTTTGCCTGTCTTTTTCTGTATCAGTCTTTATCTCTGTGGATCTATCTCTCTGTCTCTATCTCTGTATCTTTTTATGTCTGTTCTTCTGTTGCAATGACTATATCTTGACACTATCTCTCTCTATACATTGTAACGAATATTGCCTCATCTGCCGGCGCCCCCGCAACTGAACGGTTCCGGGTTATTCGCGAGTCGCGTAGAAGTGTGACGCAAGTTCCGGAAAGGTCCACGCGGGCGCCAGCCAGGTATAAATCCGTCGCTGCCGGCGGCCGCTAGCAGTCTCAAGTGGAAGCTAAGCTGTGAAGTTTGCGTTGCGGTGAACAACGGTGCAGTCGGTGAATAGCAGTGCAGAGGACCGCGATCAGCGCCGTGAACTGTAGCCAGCGCTGTGGACTGTGGTCAGTGCATCGGACTGTGGGATAGTATAGAAGTGAACAGTAAAAATAAATAATCAAGAGAAGTGTGTCATGTGTAAGAAAATAACAAAGTGAAGAAGACATAGACTGTGAAACCTATCTGTATTTCAGTATTTTTAGTGTATCATTAAGAAACAAAATAAACATCTATGTTAACATATTACATGTGTTTTAATTCACCACAAGAAACGTTACAATTGTTTCTCTCTCTGCGCCTCTGTCTGTCTCTGTCTGCCTCGGCCGGCCTCTGTCCACTGCCTCCGACTCTCGCTGTTCTCTCTTACTAATGCGCTTGGTCTGT